GGGGTACCCTGCTGATTTAAAGCATTGTAAGGGGTACTCTACTGAAGGGGGTATGTGCTGATTTAAAGCATTGTAAGGGGTACTCTACTGTAGGGGGTACCCTACTGATTTAAAGCATTGTAAGGGGTACCCTGCTGATTTAAAGCATTGTAAGGGGTACTCTACTGAAGGGGGTATGTGCTGATTTAAAGCATTGTAAGGGGTACTCTACTGTAGGGGGTACCCTGCTGATTAAAAGTACTGTAAGAGGTACCCTGCTGATTTAAAGCATTGTAAGGGGTACTCTACTGAAGGGGGTATGTGCTGATTTAAAGCATTGTAAGAGATAGATTATCTCTAGACCAGAGATAATCTGCCTTCACAAATCTTACCCTTTCCACCACTTCAGTTTTTTACTGTTTAAATTTATTTAAAACTATTTTTCCACAGTTTGATTTCATTCATCTGAATTATTTTTTTTAGATTTATTTATTTATTTATTTTCATCACACTGTGAGGTTATAGAAGGGATGAAAACTTTTGCAAGTCACTGTAGTCATGGACTGATTAGTCAGCTGGGCTGTGTCCATTTGATGTGACAAACAAACAAACATGGTTGAAATACAAAGTGCAGTTTCTGAGTGACAGACGTCTGAAGTGAAGTTCAGAATGATCTGCGGTGTCCGTGTTCCTGCTCCATCTTCTCCTCATCCTCTGGAGGTCTGACCTGCTGCTTCACTTTCAGCTCCTCCCCCCTCTCCTCCATCCTTTTAGCTCCTCCCACATGTGTGACCTTACAGTCTTTGATGTCCTCCATCTCCATCAGGTCGTCTCTCTCTGGACCCGGAGCAGCCCTGGCTCCTAAGGTTGGACCACATCCTTCTTCTGCACCCGCAGCAGGCTCTTTCTGCTGGTCTTTAGATGAAGAGGACGGTTCTTCTTCATCCAGCAGGGTGATCACGGAGAACTCTCTCTTACTGTCGGGGCTGGCTTTAACGATGGCTACACTACTTATTCTGCTGACTTTAGGTGAGGACAGGGACAGAGGACTGCCAGGAGACAAAGGCAGACTCCTCAGTCCTGGATCAGAAGGAGGGGATAGACCAGGACCTTTAGAAGCGTCTGGGGACAGTTTAGCAGTTTTTAGGATTCCAGCTCTTTTTATTTCTGTTTTCCCGTCAAGCTTCAGGGTTTTGAGTCTTTCTGGCTTCTGTTCCTTTACAGGAACTGAACCAGGGTCCTGATTGGTTGCAGATGTTGTCACGTGGTCTACATTCAGGGCAGGATGAGGTGGACCTGCGAGGGACAGACTTTGGTCAGCAGTCTCTGATGCCATGCTTCTTGATCTACTTTTAGGACTCGGAGACTCTGCCAGGGACGAGTTCAGAGATTTTAACGAAGAAACGGAGGACATGGTTTTGTTTGGGAGGGACATTTGGGGAGATGAGCCTAAACTTATTATAGGCGGGCCAAATCTAGAACCTGCTTCTTGGTCTGGACTCAAGCAGGGGTCAGAGCAGGTCTGGAGGAGCGCAGAGGTGGAACCTGGAACGGATGCAGGCGTGGAACCGATGGGTGTTGAGGTCTGGAGCGGCGCCTCTTTAGTCTTTAACGTTTCATTCTCAGCGTTAACGTTTGTCTCAGGGGAAACAGGAAGACAGGTGGGGGGGTCAGTCAGAGTCTTAGATCCTTCCTGTGGACCGGAGCTGGAGTCGTGGTCCACTTTCTTCCTTTGAGCAGAGGGAGAACCTGTTCTGACAGCAGCCCTTTGGTTCTGCTCAGGATCTGGTAGAGGTTCCTCTAACACTACAAGGGGCTTCTGAAAGGAGAATCTGACTCCCCCTGGCCCCTCTTTTACTTTTAAGCCCACAGGATCACTACCTCGACGCAGACTGAAGATAGTTAGGCTCTTTTTGGGTTTTCCCATGTTTGCAGCCACTCCGCTGGCTCCTTCAGGAAGTGGTCGGACTTCTTTGAACATACTCTTCAGGTTGTAACCGCCTTCCTTCCTCTCATCGCTGTCCCTGGACTGGTCCAGCTGGTCTCCCGAAACAGCCAATGGATTTGGACCTCCATGGAGCTTTTTATCAGTGTGTGTCACCCGAAACCTGTGGAGAGAGAGAGGACACGTATGTAGCCCCATTCACCTGATCATGTCTGTCAGAAGGCTGAGGTCTTACCTTCCAACAGAGAAGACGGTCTGCTCCCCGGGTCGCTGCTTGAAGCGGGGGGTCCTGCTTTGTCTACGGCCCTTCTTAGATCGGACCTGGGCACAGAGGTGGCATGAGTTGTGGTCACTTCCTGAGTGGACTGTGTGGAGATGAGGAGGAACACCACCGATGGACTCCTTACGCAACCTGGACAACAACAGACTTCAGTTAGGTTAGTTCCTAATGATGTCATATAGTTCATCATAAATTTAAACAAACAAATATAACTGCCTTTAGAAGCAAACTAAATAATTTCTCTTCTTCTCAAGCTTTAAAAAGGGCATGGGAGTTTGTCCAGTGGAAATATTTTATAATTTTATTATCACCCATCACCGAAAGTTGACTGGTGCTGAAACAGCTGAAAGGTTGTAAATGTGAGTTTGCATGTATGTCTTGTATGAAATAAAATTTTCAATAAATTTATAGTCAGGAAAATAAGGTTATGACCATTTATTCTACAGTATTTACCTGGGATCATAGAACTGAACCAGGATCTGGATCAGATTACCTGGGATAATTAAGCTGAATCTAGCCTGGTAAAAACCAGACCCTGTCCTTCACTTTGCTTCATACGAGGGTCTGGACTCACTGCTATAGAGAAGTGATTCTTGCTGGAGGCGTGGCCTCTGCTGAAGTTTAAAATGATTGGATCGGTTGGCAGCAACGTATGTCGCTGTGAAGGAGGCTAAGCTAAGAAGCTAATTGGAAATCACGTGTGCTGTAAACAGCCCTACTGAGAGGAGAGAAGTACCGAGCCAAACGAGACGACTGTAAATGAGAGCTGCTGCTTTGTCAGACWAATTTAATTTAATTTGGAGCCTTATCAACACAGACTGACTTCATTAACTTCCTCCTCTGCTGTATGCTAAAATAACTAGCAGACACTGCGCAGAAAACCAACGTCGTTCAAAACTCCTCCTTCTGTTCTCTGATTGGTCCAGGTAAAATAAACTACAAGCAGACACTGCACAGAACATTGATGTTCTGTTCTCTGATTGGTCCAGGTAAAATAAACTACAAGCAGACACTGCGCAGAAAATTGACGTTCTGTTCTCTGATTGGTCCGGACGAAAATTCTGAATAAATCCATCTCAATGGGAGAAGTCCCAGACGGAGCAGAGAAGCGTAACTAGAATTGAGCGGAGCTGCGTAGGAAGGCAAGGGCCGGGCTAAACTGGATCTGGGTCAGATTATCTGGACCTAGGTCAGATTATCTGGTATCATAGAACTGAACCTGGACCTGAACCTAGGTCAGATTACCTGCGTTTATAGAATTTAACCTGGACCTACGTCAGATTACCTGGGTTTATAGAACTGAACCTGGACCTGTATCAGATTATCTGGACCTTGGCCAGATTACCTGGGTTTATAGAACTGAACCTGGACCTGGGTCAGATTATCTGGGTTTATAGAAATGAACCTGGATCTGTATCAGATTATCTGGACATTGGTCAGATTACCTGGGATCATGGCGAACACACACATTGTGGTTTCCCAGCATCTCGTTGAAGGCCTCCATGTTAGCTAGAGGTGACAAAAAGAATCCAAATTAACAACCCACTTGTCTGGTCCAAACTGATCTGGTAATTAAAAACAGGTAAAGAGTTTATTTCATGTATTTCTGCTGATAAAACTATCAAACTAAATGAGGCTGAAGGTTTAGCTGAGACACAAGTTCTCCAGCCAGAGAACAGAGCTCCACAAAGTTGACTTAGCTTTAAAATGACCCTGACCCCAGCTTCACTGCTTTATTTAAAAATATAAAGTTACTAATGTCTTACTGTTTGTTTACCTTCATTTTCAATAATACATTTGAGGATCTGCTCCACGGTGTCCTGGTTCTCATCGTTGTCGTCTGAACACAGAAAATCACATCAACACATGAAGACATTGTTTAACTCAGACACCAAACTGTTTTATCGTGGTGTGGACAGGAAGAGGACTGAAGGAGGACAGTTTGTAGTCAAGGTGAAAACACTCAGATAGGGTGATGTGTCAGGAGGACACAGGTAGACCACATTCTGTGTAGAAAAGGAAACCTGAGGGAGATTGAGAACTGTAAGGTTGTAACAGAAGAGTGTGATCAGATAGCATCAGATGGTTTGAGGATGACTGTTGTGTTGAAGAAGAGGAAGAGTAAAGGCAGAGAAGAAGACCAAATGGTGGAAGAAGAAGAAGGACGAATGTACTGAGGGGTTCAGAGAGGAGCTGTGAAAGGCTCTGTGTGGTCGGAAAGAGCTGCAGCTGAAAGGACTACTGCAGCACCACAGATCAGAAAGACAGGAAGGGAGGTCTTTGTGTCATTAGAGAAAAGTTGGTGGAGAAATAGTGAAGTGCAGCAAGTAGAGGAAGAAAGAGGTTAGTCAAGAAGAAACAGCAGCCTTGTCGCCTCTCAGGGGCTGCAGCCTACCTACACCGCAACCCAAAAGGCCACATCCCTCACAGTACAGGTAGGCTGCATAAAACTGTAAAATGAGACGGTCTAGCCTATGGATGATGTATGCTTGTGTGACAATGCACTACCCCGTTACCATGGTGATACGTTTTTTTTCCTGCCTTCATTGGGACATTTATTCATGTCTTTTCACAGGAGGAATAACTTTGCAATTAAAATGTTATACTTTAATATTGGGATTTAGCTCTAGCATCACTATTTGTAGTTGCATTTTATTTAACAGCCCATTGCAGAATGAACTGGTTCAAGGGGTACCCTGCTGATTTAAAGCATTGTAAGGGGATACCCTGTTGATTTAAAGCACTGTAAGGGATACCCTGCTGATTTAAAGGATTGTAAGGGGTACCCTGTTGATTTAAAGCATTGTAAGGGGTACCCTGCTGATTTAAAGCATTGTAAGGGGTACCCTGCTGATTTAAAGCACTGTAAGGGGGTACCCTGCTGATTTTAAGGATTGTAAGGAGGTACCCTGTTGATTTAAAGCATTGTAAGGGGGTACCCTGTTGATTTAAAGCACTGTAAGGGGGTACCCTGCTGATTTAAAGCACTGTAAGGGGGTACCCTGCTGATTTAAAGCATTGTAAGGGGGTACCCTGTTGATTTAAAGCATTGTAAGGGGGTACCCTGCTGATTTAAAGCATTGTAAGGGGGTACCCTGCTGATTTAAAGCACTGTAAGGGGGTACCCTGCTGATTTAAAGCATTGTAAGGGGGTACCCTGTTGATTTAAAGCACTGAAGGGGGTACCCTGCTGATTTAAAGCATTGTAAGGGGGTACCCTGTTGATTTAAAGCACTGTAAGGGATACCCTGCTGTTTTAAAGAATTGTAAAGGATACTCTGCTGTAGGGGGTACCCTGCTGATTTATAGCATTGTAAGGGGTACCCTACAGTAGTGGATACCCTGCTGATTTAAAGCATTGTAAAGGATACCCTGTTGATTTAAAGCATTGTAAAGGATACCCTGCTGTAAAGGATACCCTGCTGATTTAAAGCATTGTAAAGTATACCCAACTGTAAGGGGTACCCTGCTGATTTAAAGCACTGTAAGGGGTACCCTGCTGATTTAAAGCACTGTAAGGGGTACCCTGCTGATTTAAAGCATTGTAAAGGGTACCCTGCTGATTTAAAGCATTGCAAGGGGTACCCTGCTGTAGGGGGTACCCTACTGATTTAAAGCGCTGTAGGTGGCACCATGTCAATTTAAAGCATTGTAGGTGGTACCCTGCTTTAGTGGGTACCCCACTGACTTAAAACATTGTAATGGATACCCTGCTGTAGGTGGTACACAGTTGATTTAAAGCATTGTAGGTTGTACCCTGCTGATTTAAAGCACTATTAGGGCTACCTTTCTGCTGATTTAAAGCAGGACTCTTCAGCCATGACTCTGACTGAACCCACAGAAACTTTATGACTATGTTACAGAGGTTAAAACTATTTTTTATACTGAAGCTGCTTTGTAAAGGTAATTGTTTCCAGTTAGGTGAGATCTTTAGCAGAACTTTTTCTCAGCTTACCTTCTGCATTTTCCCCAAGTCTTTCCTGCTCCTCCTCCTCCTCTTCATCCTGCATATCTCCTGTTCGACAGCGGTAGCCCTTCTTCTTCAGCAGGTGGCAGACGAGGAAGCCCAGCAGTCCAGTCAGAAAGAAGAAGAAGACCACCAGAAATATCATGTATGAAGGGGGAGACTCCCCCGTCCCAGAGGCTTCCAGTTCTGTCATGATGCGACTTCAACCTGAGAACCACAGAAAGCTGTTGGGTATTAATCCTGACATCCTTCATTAACAACAACATGTTGGTGAATAGAGCAGAAACCACTCCAGAGGACAACACATAAGCTAAAACTAGGAAAAAAGAACTACATTTTTTTTTATAAAAATACAGTGGAAATGCTGATGAACCTGGATGCCAAGTGTAAATAAAATGTTACAAAATGTCAGTAATGCTTTTTCATTATTTAGTTCACTTTCTTAGTGTATGATCCTAGTTAAAAATTTCCACTAACATTTTATAGTTATTTAGCTCACTGTTATTACATTTTGCAAATTTTTACTAAATGTTAAGTTTAAACGCTAAACAATAAATGCAAATATTATATCCTAAATCTAAATGTTGAGTTTACATTTAAGTATTTTGGAATGGAACGCAGCCTTTCCTGTTGGTGCTCAGCTCTTTTTATGATGTTGACATCTTGTGACAAAGCAACCGCTAACGCTGCTAAGATTGCCCTACTTGTAGTTGCAGCCAGTGTCCAAGCTGCACTTCAAACTGCTGGACCACAGGTACCATCCATATTGTTTGAATGAACACATTTTAAATTTAAATTTTAAATTCCATCTTCAGCAGCGTTAGCAGAGTTAGCTTTATTAGGCATAATCATCCTGCAACAAGAGTGCTGCCCATGGATGAAGGTGAAACTGAGCAGTTAAAGCTAAAAGTAAATACAAAGCACAAACGGAGCCATTAGCTGAAGCAGATTTCAAAGAGAACACTGGTTCTGAAGAAATAAAAGAAATCTCAATGCATTTATTTGTGGAACATGTTTGTAAATAGTTCAATATTTTTTAAAGTTTCAATTACAAAAATAAAAAGTCCTAGAATCCGTTTTCTGTATGAGTCGAACATTTTGATGTATGTACAGCTAAAATAGACCAAATGTAAGAGAAGCTGTTATACTGCAGGAAAAAAAAGAAATAGGACATTGCAAGTGTGCATGCTGACTCAGCATTTTCAGAATGATGACTCGTTCAGCTGAATGAAGCTGGGAATACCAGCTGTTACTGCCTGCAGAATAAGAGTCTTTCTACAAGCTGGGCCTGGTACCATCCTGCTTCATGAAACTAATGCACACCATTAAAGGGGTGATAATGTAGTTGTTTGAGTGTGCGGGTATTTGTCTGTACCAAAACATCTCATAAACCCCTTGTTACAACCCACTGGCTCAACAGGAAGTAACATAATGAGACCCAAGACAAAAGGTGGGACGAACTAAATAAAGTTGATCAAACTGAAAATGGTGCAGTTGGGGAGCATCACAGCCAAGCTGCTGCCTGCAGCATCACCTACACCCCGAAGGGAAGTGAGGGGAGAGAGACAGCCCAGAGGAGAAGGAGTGGCTCCCTTAAATAGACTGCTCACATATGCAGGTATCAGGGATGGTTAGTGGCAGAGGTTTAACCTGCAAAACAAATATACACAACCCCGTAACAACCCTGAGGCCTAATGCACAAATCTAAGATAAGGGATTAACCCAGGATTTTGGTGTAAACCTGAATTAGGCCTTGAATCGGTTTTATGGGAGGGGAAGCACTTACGTTTCTGTGGTAACAAGTTCTCTGAAACTAAACTGGTCCTGACCAGGTCTAAAGTGGAGCTTATTTAATCTTTTAAGCAGTGGAGTCAATTTACTGCAAAAACTGTTCATCTAACCAAGTTTTACAGTCTTATATCAGCCAAAAAGTATTTTTGATTTGTTTTTAGACTGACATATTAAACAAGATCAGAATATGTTACATTATTAATCTTGTTAACCTGAAAAGTTATTTTTTTACTTCTAGAAGTCTTACCAAGTGCAACTGTCAAACTGCAGATTATTAATCATTATTAATTTGAAAAGAATAAGGGTCTAATCTAATGTCCTGATGCATCTCAGTAATCCAGGTAAAAAATCAAAGGAAAAAAAATTGTATAGGTCCTC